TGTTTAGAGCAGTTTGTTAGTATTTATTTAAGATATCTGCACAGGTAAAGCTTAGATTTTTTGGACATTGTAAAGAAGTGACTAGGGACAGTGAGGAGGACAGGATATGGGGAAGCACAGCCTTATTTAAAGATGACTGTGTGATAGGCTTGGGACAAGTGTCTGTATTATTGACACGCCATTAAATGTGTTGCTGCTGTATTCTGCTGTCTGTGCCAGTGAGAATGTCTCTGAATGAAGAGGGTTATGTGGTCCGGATCAGAGGACTACCGTGGTCCTGCACGCAGGAGGAGGTTGCCAGTTTCTTCTGTGGTGAGAATACACATGCATATCTTCACAGCTTGAGGCATGAACAGTGTTAGTAAGTGCAAGACTGAAGTTACATCTAAAACAATAAACTCAGCTATATGCTTAGTGTTGATATTGTGATCATTGTATTTCCCCTGGTGGTCGTCCGTCATAGTGAATGAATTGACAGAAAACTGCTTTCACCTGTACATTGTGTTTAGAAATGTAAACACAACATAAATCATCGCAATTGCACCTGAATATTTTTTGATTTTGGACGTGAAAGTTAAACTGTTATTTCAAAATCTAAATAAGTTGCACTGTAGCAGAGTTATGCAATAGAAATCTGACATTTAACTCTTTTTTTTATTTTTTTTATTGGTCACATGAGTGTAAGTGACATTTGACTTGTGACTGCGTCCAAGAGTCTTCTCTCCCTCTAACAACTTGTCTTGTGGTCAATGTATTAGTTTAGGAATCCTTTTAAGGAGATCTCAATCAATCTTACTACCTTTTTACAGACTGTGACATCGTTGGCAAAGTAAACGGAGTGTGCTTTACCTACTCTAAAGAAGGCCGTCCCAGTGGAGAGGCATTTATTGAGCTGAAAATGTCAGAGGATTTCAAGAATGCCCTCGCCAAGGACCGTAAATACATGGGACACCGATACATAGAGGGTAAGCAATACAGCCGATATCAACAGACTGATGGACCACTGAGTGTTTACCTTTGTCGTCTTACTCTTTGAACAATTGCTGCATTGTGAGAGGGTTATTGATGGAAACAGTGCAACATACTCTGTTGCTGACATCTCATCAGTTTACTGTGGAGATGTTGTTGCCTGTGCGTTTTCCATGCTTTTTGAAGTTTTCTTCTTGGCTCGCCTTTTATTGAATTCCCCATACAAATAGACCTTTGATAAGCTTTAAACTAAAAGTTGTTTAGTATAATTGTCCTCTCAGATCTTGATTTGTGTGCGTCCCTTTGTCTCTGACTTAGTGTTCAAGTCAAATCGTAGTGAAATGGACTGGGTGCTAAAACGTAGCGGCCCTGCTGACTACGACAGCTGCAGCGGCTGCATGCTGCGACTTCGAGGCCTTCCGTTTGGCTGCAGCAAGGAGGAGATTGTTCAGTTCTTCTCAGGTACACAAACATTTAAACTTTTGTAGTTATTATTGAATTATATTCATATTACACTGTTTATATTAATCGGAGGAATATTTTTTTCACAGGCATGCTGTAGTTTTTTGACTGTGGACACCACAGTGTAAGGGTACCGACAACATTACAGCTAGCTTTAAAATGTGCAAAAGAGCACCTTAGCCTTCAGTGCAAGGAAAACAAATAAGACAAAACCACTAAAAGAATTGTCAAATGCATGTAGGCATTGCATACATTTCACTTATCTCTCGGTCAATGTTTATGTATATCGCTGTGTCACATAAAATGTTTCAGAAGGCTTTATTAAATAAGGCCAAGTCAAAGAAATGTGCCACATCCAAAGGCCCAAGTAGAACCTAAAGCCACAATATGTACAATGTCTATCTGACTGTAGCGTCTTTAACGTAATTCTGTCACGTTTGCACAAAAGTGGAACAACGACCATGTTCACATTCACAGGCTCTTTCTTTATATTACGAAATGTGACTTTGTTTGTATTATGAACAATTGCTACTGGAGCTGCACTTTGAATAGTGGTTTCCTCTTTGCTGATCAACCCCACAACAACACACCACCACTTAAACATACACCAAAATTAGCTTTGGCAGATTTGCCAATACACTATCTTTGGATTTCTCTCACATTGGTTTTAATTGATTTATAGTCAGTCAATGTATGTTTGTTCTTGTAGTATAGTCATAGGCTTAGTGTCAATATCGTGTTTTGCAATGTCACCTTTTTTCAATTGTTCCCATAGAGAGAGCGTATGTGGCTGCTTAGACAAAAAGCGCTGCACTCAGCTTCTTTTTTCAGAGCGATCTGACTTTTTTGTGTGGCTGCTCTGAGTGCTTCTAGTTGAAGGCCCTGCCAGCGCTTTAATGCCCGAAAAAAGTGCTATATGGACACTCAGCCAACTATGTTTATGAATTTGTCCTCATTATGAATTGTTAGTAAGCCTCTTACCATGTTAGTGTTAGATTTACACTTTATTTAGCATGCATATTCTAGCATGATGGCATGCCCTCTAAAGGGGTTAAAGATAGTTTGGGCTGGGCTGGTTTGGCTGAGGGGAGACAGTCTAAGATAATCGCCACTGAAGAATTATTATAGGCCAGTGTCATTCAACACTAGTAAGTAATGATTTTGCCTGACCTGAATTCAGTTGTGTATACGACAATATGTTAAGTCTGCATCCACTTAATTTTCTAGTTGCTGTATGTTAATCCTGATAGCTCAAGTGATGCAGTGGGTGTTGTTCTTTCTATTCCATACATCTATCAGTCTACCTACCGACCTATGTATTTATGTGTGCTTGGGTTGAAGGGTTGAGAATCGTGCCAAATGGGATTACTCTGCCAGTGGACTACCAGGGGAGGAGCACAGGGGAAGCCTTCGTGCAGTTTGCCTCAAAGGAGATAGCAGAACAGGCTCTGGGGAAACACAAGGAAAGAATAGGGCACAGGTGGGACAGATGGGAAAGGGACGGGCTGGACTGGGTTGGGCTTCTACTGCAGTATTTAATGGGTGGTCATATTATAGTATTAATGGGATGGCTTCTGTTATGGTCGAATGATAAGCATGGGTTGGTGTGCTAGAATAATTATGGTAAAACAATGATAAAGTGGGTAAATTAATTGGGTGGGTCATGTGATATTCATTAAAATGATACGGGGAAGGGTTCAATGGATTTATGTATTGTGACATGTTGAATAATGGGATGATGTATCTAATCTGTAAATTAAAGGTGGTGTGAGTATTTTATGCCATAGATACTTTTGCTGTTGGTTGTCTGAGACCTGGGAGCAACATTTGGGTATATTAGATCATTATATTGGCACTTCCTTTGTATCCTTTTATACATTTATTTTACAGATAATTTACTGTGGAAAAGGGGTTAAGCGTAGAGGTCAGTCAAGGTAGCCTCTACCATTAAAACATCAAACTTCTTTCTGCAGTTTTTAATCATTAAAATGATCAGTGCAACACCTCAAAGCCCTGTAAGGATTTCCTTTATTGTGAGTAACAAGAGGTGAGGTTGGTGTAGAAATGCTTCGCTACAGCCATAAGCCCAGCTAATGATATTTTGTTGAAGTTGTTCA